GTGTTGATTAGTTTTTAGCAAAGGCAGGTCTAGCCGTTTTGAAGATACGGGGCAAAAAGTGCCGAAAACAGTAACTCAGTTTTTAAGAGAACGATGCGTCCTATTTGAATAATTCAAAAACTTCACTTGTATTAACAAGATGAAGAATTGATCAAATTTTCATGAAGGCAGGTCTAGTGGTTTCGGAGATCTAGTAAAAACAGTAACAAAAAATGCCATTTGGCGGTCAAAAATGATCATTAGACATATGCACATAAAATTATCAGATATTTTAAGGAGATTTTAACAATAAGTATAAATTTTGTTTACATTCCGTACCAAGGTTTATCCGTTAAACGGGGACGCGGCTCTTACGCGTTTCTATGCAGTTAAAGCAGTACGATTGCTTTGAAAAAAGTTCAGAATTTCCAAAATATTTCAAAAAAATTTGTCTTCGAAAAGTTCATTTTCGAAAAAAGGTAAATTTTTGTCAAAAATGTATGGTTTCTCAAAAATCTAATTTTTTCAGAGTAAATGTTTTTCATTAATGTTAATCTTTAAAAAAAAAAAAAAATTGGTACGGGAAGTACCAGCAATTTGCCTTAAGGCACGATGACATGCGCCCCACTAGTTAAATTCTATTTCAAAATGTTCTATCCCTCCAACTATTTGGGCTCGCCCGTAGGTAAGCGGTTAAGAGTGACGGGACTTGTTTCAGAGGTCCCGGGTTCGATACCCACTTCGAGCAGCCTGTTGTCAGGCAACATTGACAACGATTTTCACTTGGAAATATAGATAGCAATATGTTTCCAAGTGAAAATAGCCCTCACCCGGCTTGTAAGATATTAATCACAACAGCTCATAGAACCCATAAGTTCTGATCGTTGTTCAAATAAAATTATAAAAAAAAAATATTACTATTCCTATTTCCTTTATCCCTTTCTACCTTAGTGTAACCTCCAGGTTCCTTATAATCAGCATAGTCCAACCCGTTGTGTCCGTAACTGATGGCAAATTCGGTAACGAATTCAGTACTATGAGCCCTTCCCTGGATGGCAATCCTGGTCACATTCATTATCTGGCCCAGATCGATTATCAGCCTCTGGTCGAAATCGGAATTTCTGGCCGTCCAGGCGTTTCCTCCTGGATAATGGTCAAAATGCCATTACAAGGTACCAATTGGGTTAATAATTTTGGTTAGTTGAGAATTTTCCCCATTCCTGGTGATGGTTAGTATGGTGTTGTGCTGGTTTTAGTTAGAAGGATACTGTTAGTTTCAGACCTTTAACCCAATTATTGAGATTAGTGGGATATTTTGGTAAAATTACCTCCAACTATATTGATGTTTATTAAATACTTCCACAAATATACATCAGTAGAAGGTTTGTAAGTGATTTATTACATGAGACCATTTTTTGTAAATCATTTTGGTTAATACTTTTGTAACTTTCTCATGAGCTTGCTGATGAGATTATTATGATTTATTTACAATTTTAACGTGAGTTTTGGGCAATTTCAAGTGCTTTTCAAGATTTCTGAAGGCGGATTATTACAAAGTTAGTAAGTACATTTTTCACAATTTAGAAATAGAATCCATGGACATAGGTTAGTATAGACTACTGGAGAACGTTAGTTCATATTTTAATCATTTTGGTTAAATTCTATTAATCTTTTCTGGTTGAGGTTCATCTTCGTGTAGGTGAGTAAAAGATTAGTTTTGTTCTTTTGGCTATAATTCTATTATTAACTTTTTTGATTAGCAACATAAAATTGGAACACCATCAATCAATTGCATGGAATTTTAAATCCCCATTGAAATTTGATTATTTTCTTGGTTAGTTAAAGAAAATTCCTTCTTCACCAGGGATATTACATTAGTTTCAACATAATTTTTATTAAATTATCATCTATAGCGTGCTTATTAGAAGAAATTGGTGCTGATTTACAATAGAGAAATTCGTAATAGTTGACACAAATCGTAATTTACTGTTGTAATATATATATATTATATATATATATATATATAAAAAAATTCTTAATCAGATTTAAGGGTGTTGTCACCCATATGTTTAATCCTATTAGTAAAGGCTGTCAGAAACAATCCGTGAAACTAGGGGATTCTAAATCAAATCCTAACTATGTGGGACATTTATACATACATACACATACATACATACATGAGCGAGCTATCATGCAAATAAAAGACGCATACAATGTTTTTTCATTTAAATCAAATAGTTTATGAGTTCCATTTCCACCAAAATTAAAAATAATCGTATTCCATCTAGAATTAATTTGGTTTAAGAGATCTTGATGGATTCTAGAAAATACCACAACTTTAGTACAAACGATTTATATTTATATCTCTGAAAGAATAAAAGATATGTATAAAATTCAAGGTCTTTTTCTGACTAATCATCGTTTGAAGTTCTGACTAATGATTGTTTAAAGAGTGCGCGGCTGTTCAACCAAAGTGTCTTTCGAGCCCTTTAACCCTTTAAGTAAATTGGAGCACAGTAAAAAAAATCGCAAGGCACACGCTTTTTTCCTCTCTATATTTACTGCAATAATTTTGTTGATCGTAGGTTGAATAGAGCACGAGAACAAGAATTGACAAATTCACTTCAAATATGAACTTAAGTAATAATGTATATTAAATTATTAATGAGAAAAATGTAATTTAGATATTAAAATTACTAAAAGCCAATTAAAATATGGTACGAAATTATAAAAATTATAGGCAACGTTATTGAAGCAATTATTTTTTAGTAAAATCCAATGTGATATTGTACCTTTACCGCGAATGCTATATATTAATTCTTTCTAAATTTGTTATACCTTTTAAAAGACTTCAATTTCCAATACGTATATCTTATGCTATAAATCACAAAGGCAGGCGATGATTTTTTGTGTGATAAATTTGGAAAATCAATGTTTTAGTCGTAAATCTACATCTACAGGTATGACTGAAAATATTGTATAACCCTTGACATTAAAATAAATTGAGCAATTGGAAATAAATTTGTTCTATAAATTGCAATGTATAATTTTTAATATACAATTTTATTGAACAATAAAGTATTTGTTTAAAAGGATAATGTGTTAACTGTGGGAATTGAGAATCGTCATTTTATTTGAAGCAGTTCTTCATTTAACATCACTCATATATTGGTGTAAATAATAATTCGAAAAACGATAATTATTATATTTAACTGAACGGTAAATATTAGTATAGGATATTAAAAAAACGTAGATGTGGGTACAGGACAACGTCTGTCGGGTCATCTAGTATATATATATATATATATATATATATATATCTTGGTAATAATTATCAAATAAGTTAAAAACAAAATTCAATTGACCTTTGACCTTTGCCCTAATGACGTGTTAATTACAATTGTAATTAATTATAGAAGTTAATTTATGTCAAAAATTATTTGATTTGATTTTCCAGTATGAGTTTTATACTGATTGCATGTCAACCTGCACTTATTTTCGATAGTAGCAAAGTTCCGTATCTTCTTTTATAGAATATATATATATATATATATATATATATATATTTTGGCATTTAAAAATTCAGTGCATATTGAATATTTGAAATTGACATTCAATATTTTTAAATTAAATACAAAAGTAAAAAATCTGATATTTATATAAAAATTATATATTTAGATAATGGTACTGCGATGATTCAGACTAAAATCTAATTTATTCATTGATTAAAAATATTTCACTATTTGACATAAATAAAATTAAAATAAACAAAGCACTATGATGCGTTCGAATTAATTATCAAAATGTAAAGAAATTCGTGTAATAAAAATGTAACATTATTATTAATATATCATGTATATTATAAGAACTTTTGCAATGCGGAAAAATATTTTTTATGGCAAAACAGCGTTTGCCGGGTCAGCTAGTATATATATATATATATATATATATATACATATGTATATATATAAATGTATAAGTATAATCTACTAAATGAACTCGGATCATGCGGGGTCAAATGCTCGATGCACTCGTAAAAAACTTTTTAGAGCATTGAAGGCAAAAATAAAATCACTTTGAAACAAACTGCTAAATCGATATAGTTATTTTTTATACCAAAGACCTGAAAAATATTTGAATATGAAATGGGTGATTTTTTTGTACATTAAGAGTTTGAATTAAATTCCTTCATTCTTATTTTTTTAATTCATGTTTACGAGATAAAAAATCCCAAGGCAAATAGGGACATACAAAACTAGGTATTATTTTAACTTATTTTAATTCTAATGACCCAGCCAGAATCAATAGAATCAACAAATAAGATTGAAAAAAGGGGCAACTTTTGCAAGGCAAAAAGTATTTAGTATCCTTTATTACAATCAACTTATTATTATCAATTCCATTTCCATTCCCCCGAGCTTCACTTTCTCAATTTTTTATTTCCCGGAGTAACTTTTCCGATCGAGTGTTTATCGCCAAAGATTGGGGGGCGCCGCCCTAGGGCTCCATCGGAGACATCGCGGGCACCCAAATGAATGATACAGTAATAAAATGATTTAAAACATGCAACCGGGGGACGAACCGACGAAGAGTTCCGTAACATCGTTATAGTAATTTAGCAAAAGTTTATTCTTCAATCCGGTTCCAGAAGAAATATAAAGACATAACTAGAAATGGGACAGGGTATGATGATGGTAATAATAGAAAAGTATGTCAACTTGTTTTTAGAATTGAGGGTATGAATTGTCTGAGAACTGCAGGATTTGTGCCAACCAACAAATCATTCTTAATGAGCAAAATGCATTTAATTATTATTGGTTTGTTTTAAAATAAGATGTGCTACTATTTATCAAAAGCTCGTGAGATGAGATTGGACTTTCTAGGATCTGTTATAAAAATTTTAAACCGTACTTTCAACAATTAACCAAGGTTGGTGAAAATTTTCAAGAATTTTTAAACCTGATGATATTTTCAATAATTTGGTGAGATTTCCAAGAATTTGGAAGAATTTTCGAGAATCTCTAAGAACCTGGTAATATTTTCAATACTTTGGTGAGATTTTCAAGAAGTTTAGAGCATCAGTTAAAATTACAAGAATCTATGAACTTTCTTAAAGTATTTAAGAAAAATTCGATATTCGAATAAACTATTAAGGGTAAGAAAACTCTAAAAAAAAATACGAGGTTTAAGAAAAACTATTTATTTCTATTATTTTTAAGAATTTGTCGTATTCGACAATCAAGAATCACATAAAATATATATGTACGAGTATATAATTTTTTATATCCATTGTCCATCATTAATAGACTTCCATTAAGCAAATATGCAAATAAAATGCAAAATTCGATACAAGTGCAAAATATGCAAAAATATTATGCAGATGCTATTGATATTGATATCATTGTTCAATTTATGATGACTTGAAATATGAGGCAGAAGTTGGAAACATTTTAAATCAAAAATGAAAAAAATATTCAGTAAAAAAGAACTGTTTGTCAATATATTTTTTAATAAAATCATTGTTGTGAGGTGACTAATCAGGAATCTGGTAAAATTGTTTTGAATTTGATAAAATTGTTTTGATTATTATTTTCCAAAAGCGAGAATTTCACAAAACCCGAATATCTGATGAAAATATCAAGAATTGAATAAATCTGTCGAATGTGTTCAAGGATCTGCCAAGCGATTTTATAATATCTGGTTAAAATTTCTAAAACCTTTCGCTATTTTCAAGAATCCATCCAAATTTTTAAGAATATGCAAAGAGTTTCAAGAACCTGCCAGGATTTTTTTTTAAATCCTGGGATAATTTTGTAAAATCGGTCAAAATTTTCAAGAATCTTCCAACATTCCTTAATATCTGGTTAAATTTTTTAAAATCCGCCAAGATTTTCAAAAACTTGTTAGGATTATCAAAAATGTATGAGGCATTACTTAGATTTTCAAGAATTTGTCATAATTTTCAAGAATCTGCTAACATTCCTTAATATCTGGTTAAATTTTCTGAAATTTGTTAAGATTTTCAAGAACTTGCTAGGGTTATCAAAAATTTCTCAGGAATTTATTTGGATTTTCAAAAATTTGACATGATTTTCAAAAACCTATCTTAACTTTCAAGAATTTGCCAAAAATTTCTAATATGCATCTAGTGATATTTTTAAGATTTTGGTAAAATTTTCAAGAACCTGCCAATATACTGTCTAATACCTCGCAATGTTTTTCAAAATCTAGCAAAATTTAAACAGTTTTCTGAAACTATCAAGATTATCTTGTCAAGATCTTCCAATATTTGGTAAAACCTTTTGAAATTTTCAAAGATCTTATAATATTTTTAACAATCTTAATAATTGCTCTTTATACGTTAAATATTAATCTTATTTATAAAAATGAAGCTCTCGATCAAATGATCCGCTAAAACTCGAAAACGGCTAAACCGATTTGGCCGTTTTTGAAGAAGTGTAATTTGAATAAAACAATGGACGGTGGGTCAAATGTTCAATTACGTTTAATAGGATGTTTTACGTAAATATTATTTAATTATGATTAAATTGTAGTAAGTAGTTTTGTTTGTAGTTTGATTTATATACAAAAACGTTCGTAAACGGGCCTCAAGTGTTACTAGATACTCAAAATATCAACTTTTTTGAAATGTTAATATGAAAATGCACTTTTTGGCATATTTATCTCAAACACAGTGCTCTGAAAGATCTCATTTGTATAATTATATACTCATTGGTATTTATAAAACATTTTCTAGGTTATGTTATTTTTTATTTATGTTATTTGAATTCAGAACCTAAATTTGGTATCGATCAAAGGGACATTTTGTCGAATAATATTTTCCCAGTTATAATTTCCCAGAATTTATCAAAGAATAGATAGTAATATATAAATTTTCTATCTCTCCTCGCAGAAATTTAAAATATTTGTGTAAGCTCAGTAGTATTATTTACAATTATACACAAACTCCAGAATCCAAAAAGAATCTGAAAAACTTGAAACGTAATCAATAAGTCGAAAGACCAAAAAAGACTTGGATTGGATTATACCATGTTTTCTATCGAAAGTGTATAAAACTTCCAGTTTGATTGTATTGACAAAAGATAGACAAACTAATGGAGTTTATTGTTTTTATAATATTTCATTCTATATAGCATTGGAACAATACATCCTTATACACCTAAAGTATTAATATTTTTGATTCTCTAGAAATTGTTTAGAATATACCTTACTTAGCAAAACAACGTTTGCCGGGTCAGCTAGTATATTTATATATACAAATATGTGTTAAAAATATTTATTATATAAAAAACTACATGACATGCTTTTAGTCTAAATACGATATACATATAAAACTACATAAAATTAACAATCAACTTATAAAATATAATTTTATATTTATCACTAAATATATAGTCCTCAAAAATTCTCAAAATAATTTTATACACATATATATTTCTTATATTATTTAATTATTTATGTAAGGATGAGATTCCTTTTTAAAAAATTCGTCGCACAATTCTGGGTCAGGTTCGAGCAAAGGCACAGCATTTTTAACCAAATCATTAAAATTCAGAAACTCGAACAACTTAATTGGTGGTTTGTCCCCCTTCGAATACAAAGAAACAGCAACACAATGATCCTCATCGAGCAAAGACTCCTCGAACCTCCAACCGTCTAAATATTCACCATTCACCTTGCAAACTGTATCCGAGACGACTTTGTCTTCAGACAAAGTACGATTTTGGATTTCGAATGAAATATTTTGTAAGTTGACAGTGATGCCACATCCCAAGTTTTTGACGTAGGACTCTTTTAGGCACCAGTGTCTGTAGAAGCCTTCGGTTTGTTTTTGCTCGTTGGCTCCTTGTTTGATGTTGCACCATTCGAGGGGTGAGAAATGTCTGGTCATGAGCCTAAAAAACTCTGCCAAGGGTCTGTTTTTGGTCGTGTACTCCATTTTCATGACGTCTACACCAAGTTTGCAAGGGCCAAGTTCGCCAGCAAGGACTGCATAGTTGCCCTGGTGGGAAACGTTGACGTCCAATTGGTAATCGGAGTTGTCCAAAAAGGGTTTGCCCTTATCATCACGTCTAAATTTGATCTCGTTGTACTGCAAACCGGTGACGACATGAACAAACTTTCGGAGCATCAGACGTCCCACCAAAGACGCCTTAAAAGAGTCCCCAAAAACGTATTTACTGATCCTATCCTTCTCCTCCTGCTGGATGCAGGATAAGGCGAATTGCATTTGCATTTTTGTAGGAGTCCAGGAGGACACGTTGAAAGCCCAACGTACACTAACCACCATTTTGATAAAAAAAACACTTAAAACTTTTTATTTTAAATTGTCCACCGCCTTACAAGTCTGTGTCCTTTCTACTCAACCTGAAGAGAAACAGAAAGACAACTTGACTTGATGGTTCCATTTAAAATGTTTGTTTGTTTGTTTTGATTTTGTGGATTTATTTATGACGTGCACATATGTTTCTATATTTCCATTAAAGATTGACCTGGTCTCGACCTCTCGCCATTGTGTTTTTATTGAGAATTTTTGAGAACGGTTATTTTAAAAATTGATATTTTAATAATCGACGAATGAGTTGAAATATTGATTGTTCTTGTTGTTGTTTGTGGAATTTGGGTTATTGGACGGTGCAAAATGTTTTGTATCAGATCAACTTGTATATAAAGATACTGCAAAAATCTTTTCCCATCAGTGAAATTTGAAAATTTCGATTTGAATTTAGAACTCATCGAAATGCATATCTTGTCCATGTTTTTTTCTAGTTTTTAACTTCCCGTAGTTATAGTAATGGGCCGAAAAATCGAAAATGAAAATTTTTGCATATCTCGTCGTTTTGAAGGTTTCTGAACATTTTGGCATACCTCAGAAAAAATGGATGTATGTGTGTGTGCGTGTGTGTGCGGATACAAATTTTCGTCGACGATTTCGGGAACACGGATCAACCGATTTGAATGGTTCAAAAATAATTCGATTCCTATTGATAGGGAGATGTGCTGATTAGTTTTTGTCAAAGGCAGGTCCAGCCGTTACGGAGATACTTCTATAGCAAAGAGTGCAGAAAATAGAAATCGAGTTTTTGAGAGAACGGAATATCGGATTTGAATGATCTAATGAACATTCAATTTGTAATGATTGGGAAAAGAAGTGATTAGTTTTTGGCAAAGACAGGTGCCGCCATTTTGAAGATACAGAGCTAAATGTGCAAGAAATGGCAATTTTTGAGTGAACTAAGCGTCCGATTTGAATGATCTAAAATTGGTAAAATTTAAGGATTTCATAAAACTATCAAAAATTTGAACAAACTATTAGAAATTATTGAAAATTTGTATATAATTTATTTTATGAAATACTGTAAAAATGTTTTTTCCATCAGTGTAATTTATAAATCTCAATTTAAATTTGTAGTACAAACAGTGTGTCCTTATAAACTCATCAAAAAGCAGATCTCTACCAACTTTTTTTGTACTTTTTGTTAAAAAAATTTAATATCTCAAAACTTTTAAAGAAATCTCATCGATTTAAGTATTTGTCATCATAGTAGACATGTTGATATAAAATATACTCAAATTCCAAGTTTGTGGTACAAACGGTACGTCCTAAAGAGCTCATCAAAATACATAACTTAAACCTTGGCCAAGTTTTGGGTACTTTTTGTCTAAAAAAGATAATCTCTCAAAATTTTGAAATTAAACTCATTGATTTTAGTATTTGTTGTCATAGTAGACACGTTGATGAAAAACATATTCAAATTTCAAGTTTGTAGTACAAACGGTACGTCCTGAAGAGCTCATCAAAATACAGAACTTAAACCTTAGCCAAGTTTTGGGTACTTTTTGTTTTAAAAAAGTTAATAACTCAAAATTTTTAAATAAAACTCATTGATTTTAGTATTTGTCGTCATAGTAGACATATTGATGTAAAACATACTCAAATTTCAAGTTTGTAGTACAAACGGTGCGTCCCTAAGAGCTCAACAAAAGTTAAAGAAAAAAGTTCTATGTGGTGGTTTATAGATATTATTTAGAAAAAGTCTAATAAAGCAATCAAGGAGTAGAAAAAAAGACTAAAATCAATGTATTTCCAGATAAACAAAACTAGGAAACGAGTCAAGAAAATACTTGGTCAACAATAATCCTATGCTACAGGTTACATGAAGAATTTTCCCAAATTGAATTTACTTCAAATATAGTACTATATAAAAAAAAACTGTATTTAAACAGTAAACATTTAAAACCAGTCCATTACCAATAATACAATCATGATCAATTTCTAATAAAGTTATCAGAAACCTATTTCGATATACAGTTTTCCAAATCAAATACTATTTTGTATATCGATAAATTTTTCTATTTCATTATATATTTATAATGATTTCCTAACACATTTCCTTCTCGATCTGATACAAAACATCAAAATATCTACTAAAAGGTTAATACCTAATTTAATATTATTTACAACATTTATCTACAGCATGCAATACGAGTACTATAATACATATAAATCAAAATATAAAACTGACCTTCTAGTCTTGCATTTTCAGGGCCTCTTTCGCTCAAATGTGAGGTGGCTTTTAAGGCAGCTCTATCGAGCAATGGGGTGTTACATTCGTATTCTGAGTAATATTTTGACACAAACTCTGAAAGAAAAGGAAAATAAAATATATAGAAACTATATTTTAAAATCCAAAACTAATATAAACAAAAATAGTCAGTAATTAATCATTTTATTAAATAGCTAATCATTCTCTTCATTAGATAAATGTCTTAAAAGTAACAAAGCAAAATTGGAGTTCCACAAGGGTCCTATTAAAGACCTTTGTTATTCATAATATTCGTAAATGATAAAGGTATAGACCATATATAGGATACAATGATTATCAAAATTCTGCCGAGACATTACTTGGATTTTCAAGAATTTTTCATAATTTTCAAGAATCTGCAAACATTCCTTAAAAATGTTAGAAGCAATATTAGTTAGTGCATGTTTTATTATTATTTTTATTGGAGTACCACAAGGGTCCTATTAAGGATCTTTGTTATTCATAATATTTGTATTATATCTGGTTTTGATAAAATAACTAATTATTCTGTTCTATGTGTTAACACGAATTGCATAAAATTTGTCTATCATGTTTGTTTATAAAATAAAGTTTTAGTAGAGATTTTCTGTAATATTTTAGATATAATCTCTCTATATATTGAATGCAATCTATCTGGTTTTGATAAAATAACTAATTATTCTCTTTGATATGTTAACACGAATTGCATAAAATTTGTCTATCATGTTTTTTTTATAAAGTAAAAGTTTTAGAGGAGATTTTATGGAATATTTTAGATATAATCTCTCTATAGATTTAATACAATCTATCTGGTTTTGATAAAATAACTAATTATTCTCTTCGATGTGTTAACATGAATTGCATACAATTTGTCTATCATGTTTGTTTATAAAGTTGAAGTTTTAGTAAAGATTTCATGTAATATTTTAGATATAATCTCTCTATATTGTGCAAATTTGTTTTATACACAAATTTAATACAAATATCAAACTTGGACCTAGCATTTATTGACACAAAGTTAAAATCAACACACAAAACATAAATAAATAAAAAAATATATATACAATATTGAAAATAAATCATCTGATGCAGTTAAAAGTGTGTATAATATTTCCATTTCCAATCCAAGCCATTGCTCAACATTTTTGTCAAAATTTCTCTTTTGAGGTTATGAAAAACAAAGCAAAACTGGAGTACCACAAGGGTCATATTAAGGACCTTTGTTGTCCATAATATTTGTAAATGATATAGGTTTAAATCATGTATAGGATACAATGATATAGGACTATATATAGAATACAAAGAAGATCTATAAGTGTGTTTCAGTGAAAAAAGATCTTGGGTTCTACATGGATAATTTATTTATTTTCTCTGAAAGCTTTCAAGCAAAAGCAAAAGCTTTTTCTCCAAACTTGTTACTATTGCTAAATGTAGCAAGAATTCCCATATATTGAATTTGCTGCTCCAAATTAAAGACTTCAATCAAATAGTAAATTGAGGATAATGTGTGCATATCAATACAATTACAAAATTTACTGCACACAGCCAATAGGTATCTACATAAATAAACAAATAAATAATATATATATGTAAAAAAAAAAATACAACTCAATATATATTTGGGCCTTGGCAAAATAATTAGTCACTGAAGCATTCACTCGAATTGCATACAATTTGCCTGTTTGCATGTTTATTTATAAAGTAGAAGTTTTAGTAGAGATTTTATGTAATATTTTAGATGTTATCTCTATATAGATTTTGTGCAAAAGCAATTCAATTTATTTCAAGCACAAATTTAATACAAATGTCAAAAGCTTGGACCTACCCTTTATTGACACAAAGTTAAAATTAACACATAAAACATAAGAAAATAAAAATAAATATATCAATGAATATCTATAAGTGTGTGTCGGTGAAAAAAGATCGTGGATTCTTCATGGATAATTTATTTATTTTCTCTGAAAGCTTTCAAGCAAAAGCAAAAGCTTTTTCTCCATATATGTATATATATATATATATATATATATATATATATATATATATATATATATATATATATATATATATAAGTAATTTATAAGAGTAAATAACGATATATAAGTAAGAAAAAGTATACAATAAAATCTATCTGGTTTTGATAATTATTCTCTTCGATGTGTTAACACGAATTGCATACAATTTGTCTATCATGTTTTTTTATAAAGGTAAAGTTTTAGTGGAGATTCTATGTAGTATTTTAGATGTAACCTCTCGATAGATTTTGTGCATTTGTTTCATACACAAATTTAATACAAATATCAAGCTTGAACCTAGCCTTTATTGACACAAAAGTTAATTTTAACACACAAAACATAAATAAATAAAAATAAATGTATTTAATATTTAAAAATAAATATGCTGATGCACTATCAAGTGTGTGTATAATATTTCTGGTGTATTTAAATAAATTATACTAATTTCAAACCATTGCTCAAAATTTTTGTCAGTTGCGGTTATGAAAAACAAAGCAAAACTGGAGTACCCCAAGGGTCCTATTAAGGACCTTTGTTATTCATAATATTTGTAATCGAATTAGGTATGGACCATGTATAGGATACATAAATACAATGAAGATCTATAAGAAATAATGTGTGTATCGGAGAAAAAAGATCTTGGGTTCTTCATGGATAATTTATTATCTCTAAAAGCTTTCGAGCAAAAGCAAAAGCTTTTTCTCCAAACTTGTCCATCACTAAGCTTTATTTAGCTAAATGTAGCAGAAATTTCCATAAACTGAATTAAATTAGTCACTCTAAAATAAAGACTTCAATCAAAGAGTAAATTGAGTATAATGCGTGTATTTCGATATGACTATAAATTTATCTGCATAAATAAACAAATAATTGATAATATAAATGTATGAAAAAATATACAATAAAATCTTTCGGGCCTTGGCAAAATAATTAGTGTCTTCGATGCATTAACTCGAATTGCATACAATTTGTCTATCATGTTTGTTTATAAAATTTAAAAGTTTTAGTAGAGATTTTATGTAATATTTTAGATATAATCTCTCTATAGATTTAGTGCAAATTTGTTTTATACACAAATCTAATACAAATATGAAGCTTTAACCTAGCATTTATTGATACAAAGTTAAAATTAACACATAAAACATAAGAAAATACAAATAAATATATCGATGAATATCTATAAGTATGTGTCAGTGAAAAAAGATCTTGGGTTCTTCATTGATAATTTATTTATTTTCTCTGAAAGCTTTCAAAAGAAAACAAAAGCGTTTTTGCCAAACTTGTCGACTACTAAGCTTTATTAAGCTAAATGTAGCAGAAATTCCCATAAACTGAATTAAATTAGTCACTATAAAATAAAGACTTTGAGAAACAAAATAGTGTGCATATAGATATGATTACAAATGTGGTATATATATAACTAAAAAATTTAATAACGATATATAAGTAGAAAGAAGTATACTATAGTAACTAATTATTCCCTTCGATGTGATAACACGAAGTGCATACAATTTGCCTATCATATTTATTTATAAAGTTGAAGTTTTAGTGGAGATTCTATGTAATATTTTAGATGTAATCTCTATATAGATTTTGTGCAAAAGCAATTTAATTTGTTTCAAACACAAATTTAATACAAGTGTCAAGCTTAGACCTAGCCTTTATTGACACAAAGTTAAAATTAACACATAAAACAAATAATATATATATATATATATATATATATAATATTCAAAAACGGATATTCTAGTGCAGTAGCAAGTGTGTGTAAAATAATTCTGGTTTATATAAATCAAATTATTTATTGCTCAAAATTTTTGTCAAAAATTCTCCATTTTGAGGTTATGTGCACCCAAAAATATAAAAGCCAACAAAACATTGTACAAAACCAATTTAACTTCTGCATTTTACACACAATTTTACCAAATCAATTATCAACATCTATCAATTACTATATTTACCTGCATTTACACTAAAAACAGCTATGTTTACAAGAAAACACAAGACACTTGTAAACAGGTCCATGTTTAATCTTTGCACTTTCGTCGACACAACATACGATTTAGTAACAAAACGCACTTGTACTACAAAACTATTATAATAATAATGGAGGTATACTATTAATATTATTATTATTATTATTAAGGGGACGTTTACATATTTAATATTAATTCGGTTACGCCCAAAACAACACTACTTGTTCTTCGTCGTCGTTGAACGATGAAGTGAATCATTTTGTTTGGAGTGAAGTTAGCAACGCAACGGGAATAGTCCGAGGGGCTATGGTCGTGATTGGGAGGATTATTGGAATAAGCAGAGGGGCAAAGACACAAAATGAAATTTGAAATTGTAATTGAAATATATTTGTTGTTAAAGTTTTCTTTTTCTTTCTTTTTAATTTCAATATTTATTACAACCGTTAAATAATTAACATCTAGCAATAATGACAAATAATAACATAAATTTGAATAAATAAGAGTGCAAAGGATAGAATTTACATTAAAATAATGTCCGTAGTGTGATGATTTAATATAAAACTAGCTGTAAGTGGAATTTTGTCTTAAGGCAATTAGGGCATCGTGCCTTAAGGCAAATTGCTGGAACTTCCCGTACCAAAAATTATTATTTTTTTTAAAAACGATTAACATTTTTGAAAAAAATTTACTTCGAAAAAATAAGATTTTTGAGAAACTATAAATTGGACAAAAAATTACTTTTTTTTGAAAAAAAAATTTTTTTTAAAAAAAAATTTTTTTTTGAAAAAAAAAAGTTTTCTTTATTTTGAAATATTTTGGAAGATCTGAACTTGTTTTTCAAAGCAATCGTACTGCTTACTGCATAGAGACAAAATATAAAGCGCGTAAGCGCGGCGTCGCTGTCTAACGGGTAAACATTGGTACGGAACCCATAGGAAAATAAACAAAATTTATACTTATTGTTAAAATCTCTATGAAATATCTGAAAATTTGATGTGCATATGTCTAATGATCATTTTTGACCGCCAAATGGCATTTTTTTTTACTTTTTTCGTTATATCTCCGAAACCGCTGGACCTGCCTTTATGAAAATTTGATCAATTCTTTATCTTGTCAATACAAGTAAAATGTTTTTTGAATTATTAAAATCGGACGCTCCGTTCTCTTAAAAACTGAGTTACCGTTTTCGGCACTTTTTGCCCCGTATTTCCGGAACGGCTAGACCTGCCTTCGCCAAAACTAATCAGCACGTCTCCTTATCAATACGAATCGAATGTTTTTTAAATTATTCAAATCGGTTGATCCGTGTTCCCGAAATCGTCGACGAAAATTTGTATCCGCACATACATACACACACGCACACACACACACACACACACACACACACATACATCCATTTTTTCTAAGGTATGCCAAAATGTTCAGAAACCTCTGAAACGTAAAGATATATAAAAATTTTCATTTTCGATTTTTTTGCGATTACTATAACTTACCCTACGGGAAGTTAATAAAAGCAAATAATAATAAGAATAAAATTAATAAATAATATAAATAAAATTTCTGAATAATAAAATAATACTAGTAAAACAATAAAATATAACAGAGTTACAATATTAAAAATAATAAAATAATAATAATGATAATAAAGTTGTTAAAGTAAGTTTGTTTATATTATTTGTTATAAATGTTTGTAGTTTTATAAATAAATATTTATCACATATTGGAAAGACAATTTTTTCATAATTTCGGAAATAAATCTATCATTTTTGTAATATTTTTGAACCAAAATTAAAATTTTTAAACCAAATTATGTTCCTAAAAACGTTTTATAGAGTACTACACGTTTTGAGTTTTAATTTGAATCATTTTCAGTAAATAAAACACACAAATTTTATATTAAAAAATATGAAAAAAAATAATCATAATTAACAAAAACTTGCTTAATATTTGTATTTACATAAAAACTACATATTTAATTAATAAAATTACGTTAAAAATAATAATAAACATTATGTAATGATGTTTAAAACAAACTCCTATATATATATAAATAAATAAACACAAAATTTTAAAAAAATATATATTATTTTTGTAATATTTTTGAACCAAAATTAAAATTTTTAATTAAAATTATGTTCCTAAAACTGTTTTTAGACTCCTATACGTTTTGAGTACCACTTTAAATTATTTTCAATGAATAAAACACACAAATTATATTAGAAAATATGAAAAAATTAAATATTATGAACAAAAAACTTGCTTAATAGTTGTATTTATGTGAAAATTACATATTTAATTCATAAAATTACATTAAAAATATTAATAAACATTTGAAATTATGTTTAAAAAAAACTCCTATATATAACATATATAATATATATATATTATATAACATATATAATATATAATATACAATTTTTAGAAAAAAATATATTATTTTTGTAATATTTTTGAATCAAAGTTAAAATTTTTAATTAAAATTATGTTCCTAAAAACTGTTTCTAGATTTATATACGTTTTGAGTCGTAATTTAAATCATTTTCAGTAAATAAAACACACATATTATATTATGAAAATATGAAAAAATAAAACAATAAACAAAAAAGTTATATTTGTACAAAAATTATATATTTATATATATATATGAAATTAAATTAAAAATAATAATAACTATTTCAACAGATATTTAACACAAATTCCTATATATTAATTAAATACACAAACAATTTTTCCAATAAAATCATTATTTATTTATATAAATAGTTATACAAAAGTGCTTGTTAAAATAATTTATAATATATAATGATTATTAACTAAACAATGTTAATAAATATATTTTAGCTTGATGTAATTTTATTTATTGTTAATTATGAATTTAAAAATTTATCGAACTGATTATGGGAAGAACCTAATTATATAAATAAAATGTAATAAAAAGTAAGTTTTCAGTCAAAAATATTCAAATATTACTTTTAAAACATGAAAATAAATACGTGATGTCTATAAAATTTATGAATAATATTTTATGAGTAATATTTACTCTTAATTTATTTTATTAATATCTATTATAAAATGCAAATTCCTTGGCATAAAATTAAAATTTATAATAAAGTCTACACAAAACTATAAAATATAATTTGATATAATTTTATTTTTTGGTATTTATGAAATTAAATATTTATGTAACTTTTTATGAAAAAAACCTAATTATATCAATAAAATGTGATAAAAAGTTAATTTTTAGTTTAAAAAATTTTAATATTACTTTTAAAGCATAAAAATAAATACGTGATGCCTATAAAATTCATAAAAAAATATTATTCTCAATTTGTTTTATTAATATCTATCATGAAATGCAAATTCCTTGGCATAAAATTAAATTTCATAATTAAGTGCTCCACACAAAGCTATAAAATATAATAAATTAATTAAAAAAATATGATTGTATTTAAAATTTAATTAAGCTTATTATGGAAAGTTTTAATCTGTTTGCATTTGCACAAAAAAAAGCCCAAAAATTCCAAATAATACTTTTAAAACATAAAAATAAATAAGCGATGTAAATATAATTTATACCTCAGCTTAAAATTGCAATAGCATACTTATTAAAAATATCATAATATAATATAAAAAATATATAAACTAAATTTGCATTTAACCATTTAATTGTCATATAAAAGTTTTCTTAGTCAATCATACTTATCACATACAATTGTTTTTTATACAGTTTGCATCACACAAAGGAGGGAATATCTTTAGTGAATAATCTGAAACAAAAATAATAATGTTAAATATATATATATATATATATATATATATATAAATATATTTACTTCAACTATTTATTTTGTGAAGATCCAGGAGTTATCGGTGGAGGCACTCCCAATAATTTGCATACATCGTTTCTCATAGTTCGAACTTCTTGTACAGAACCATCCCAGTTTCCTTCTGACAAATAAGTCATCACCTAAAATAAAATATAAATGGTAAGTAATAATTTAGCCATCTGTAGTAATAATAGTATAAATATTAAAATTAATTGTCTGAAGCTGATTTAGGTGCATTTATTTATTATATCTCTTGTAACTTTTAAACATTGTGTCTGAAGTACACAAAATATTTGGCAAATTTGTCCAAAATTAAATTATCTATAATATTTACTAACATCATAATGATCTACATACAGCAACTCGGTATACTTTAAATAAAATCCCCAAGAAAATCTAGATACTTCTACATCACTTCTATATGCAGATTCTATGGAAACATTCTTTTATCGAGGTGCTCTAGGGTCTTATATTAATGAGAATTAGTAAGTTTTCTATTATTACCTCGTCCAGGTCATCACCAGGTATGTCCAGACAATCCGAATGAATTATAAGAGCCTCGTAGAATTTAGTGGCAGTAGTTTTCCTAACGTGCATTACGGAGTGGCCCAATAGTACAGAAATTTGTATCAGTGCTTTTCTTCTCACACTTTCAAACTAAAAAAGAAAAAAATATGGAATAATAATAAAATTAGATAATCTCTTATAAGTACAATTTTTTAAAATTTGATGAAATTGTCTAATATAAGATATTTTTGCAGATTCTCAATTTGTAAAAATTTTCTTGAATCTCAAAAGATTTATATAAAACTGCAAAGTTTTTCTTAAAATGATAAGGTTTTTCTTAATAATTTTCTTAAATTTTTCTTTTAAATTCTGTTTTTCTTAATTTTGCCAAGAAGATTTTTTGAAATATAAAATAAGATTTTAAATTTTAAATAAGATTGTCAAGAATCTGCTAAGAATTTCAAGAATCTGCTAAGTTTTCATGAATCTACTAAGATTTCCAGGAATCTTAAGGTTTCAAAAATGATAAGGTTTTTCTTAATATTTTAAAGATTTTCTTAAATTTTTCTTTTAAATTTTCAAGTTTTTCTTAAATTTGTCAACAAGACTTTTTTAAATACACCAAAATTTTCATGTATCTGTTGAGATTTTCAAGAATCTGCTAAGATTTTGAAGAATCTGCTAAGAACTTCAAGAATCTGCTAAGATTTTCATGAATCTACTAGATCTTCAGGAATCTTAAAGTTTCAGGAATGATAAGGTTTTTCTTAATATTTTAAAGATTTTCTTAATTTTTTCTTTTAAATTTTCAAGTTCTTCTTAAATTTGTCAACAAGATTTTTTTAAATATACCAAAATTTTCATGAATCTGTTAAGATTTTCAAGAATCTGCTAAGAATTTCAGGAATCTGCTAAGATTTTCATGAATGTACTAAGATTTTCAGGAATCTTAAGGTTTCAAGAAAGATAAGGTTTTTCTTAATATTTTAAAAAATTTCTTAAATTTTTATTTTAAATTTTTATTTTAAATTTTCAAATTTTACTCATTTTTTTAAATATAACAGAAATTTCATGAATCTGTTAAGATTTTGAAGAATCTGCTAAGAATTTCAAGAATCTACTAAGATTTTGAGGAATCTTAAGGTTTCAGGAATGATAAGGTATTTCTTAATATTTTAAAGGTTTTCTTAAATTTTTCTTTTGAATTTTCAAGTTTTTCTTAAATTTGTCAACAAGATTTTTTTTAAATATAACAAAATTTTCATAATTCTGTCAAGATTTTGAAGAATCTGTTAAGAACATCAAGAAACTGCTAAGATTTTTATGAATTTCGTAAGATTTTCATGAATCTTACTAAGATTTTCATAGATCTTGCTAAGATTTTCATGAATTTTACTAAGATTTTCATAAATCTTGCTAAGATTTTCTTGCATTTTTCTAAAACTTAATCACTTTACTTAATCAACTAAAAAAACTCTGAAATACTAAGAAATTAAATAATCTGCTATATTATTATTATTAATATTAAATATTATTGATATTAATCTAACAATATCTTAAAGATTATGACAAAGTTTTCATAAATTTGTTAAAATATTAATTAAACACTATAAATTTCTTAAGATGTTAAAAAATTCATGAATCAGTAAACGTTTTCAAGAATTTTTTAAAGTTTTCATGAAACTGCTCAAATATTCACTAACATGCTAAAAAAATTAAATTTTTCATAAAAAAAATCATTAAATTACTAAAAAACCATTGATGTATAAAAAAAATTAATAGTCTGTTAGAAAGTTAATTAATCAAATAAGATTTTCAAGATTCCATAAAAGTTTTTATGAATCTGCTAAAAAAATTGTTGATTACTATAAGCTTCATTTATATAGTAAAAGATTCATTAATATACCAAGATTTTCAAAAATCTGCTAAAAAATTCTGTAATCTTTTAAAAAAATAATTAATCTGATAAAAAAATCATATAACTTTTAAATAAATTTAATAATCCGCTAAAAAACTAATTAACTTGCTAGAAAATTCATTAAGATGTTAAAAAAAAGTCATTTTCTGCCAAGATTTTTGAAGATCTACCAAGATTTCAAAAAATCTGTTAAGATTTCTAAAAATCTGTTAAGATTTCTAAAAATCTGCTAAGATTTTAACGAATCTCATAAGATTTTCATGAATCTCATAAGACTTTCATGAATCTCATAAGATTTTCATGAATCTCATAAGATTTTCGTGAATTTTGCTAAAACTTAATTAATCAACTGAAAAACACTAATATACTAAAAAATCTGCTAGAAAAATTTAATAAACTTGTAAAAAATTGTTTATCGTGCTAGAAAAATCATTAAAATTTTAAATAAATTCAATAATCCACTAAAAAAATAATTAATTTGCTAGAATATTCATTAAGATGCTAAAAAATTCATTTTCTGTCAAGATTTTTGAGGATCTGTTAAGATTTCTAAGAATCTGTTAAGATTTCTAAAAATCTGCCAAGATTTCAATGAATCTGCCAAGATTTTCAACAATTTGCTGATATTAAATTATTTATAATTATCTTACTTGTATTAGTTGGCAGAAAACGTTAATACTGGCCAGAATTTTATAGATCTTTTTAGAACCCTTTATTTCCGATCTCGATAAAGCCAGAATTTGTGTTGAAAACTCTGCATCATCGTTGAAAACTTTGGAGAAGGATCCTAAAAGAAAAACATAAATAAAAATAATATATTATAGATATAAATTTTAAAAAAATACTAGCAAACCCGACGAGCTTCGTTTCGCCACCAGATGGTTTTGTGAGAAAGATGAAGAATTTTTTAGTTTGTTTTATATTTGAAAAGAAAAAAATGTGATTTTATTATACAACAGTAATGAATTTATTTCGATTACAAAAATGAAGTGTTTTTTAGTTGAACTTCTCTAAGTAAATGAAAGTGAATCCGCAAATTATCCGTTTCATTGAAGTGCTCTTTGGTAAACCACGTTTTTTGTTTTTCGGTCTGACGTTAACACAAACAAAGCGGATGGTTTTCCAACTCGTGAGCAGGCAACGTATAACTGCCCATGTGAAAAACAATGATATTCTATATAATCTATTTGAAATTTATCCCGCAAACACTAAGCGATTGCCCTTGCGACTTGTTATTGCGAACGCTTGGAAATTGCAATCGTTTGAAGTCAAACGGAAGACCAGTCGGAATCATTGGTATGTCACCAAATCGCCAGCAATTTTTGATTGAATGGTGAAATTCAGTGCGTGTACATCATTATACTTTGCAGCAAGAATTATTCGTTGACTTAACCAAGCATAATTCTGATAATTCTCACTAATGTCATTACTCGAATTTTTAATTACGGTGCATGAATTAGCATTAGGGTATGATGCACCACTAATTTTCTTAGCTATAAATCTTGCGAAGCCCGAGATCTTTCCACCGAATGCAAAATTGTCGAAATCGGTTCGTGCGTTCTGGAGTTATTACGTCAGGAAGGAAAACCCGACTTATTTTATATATATATATATATATATATATATATATATATATATATATATATATATATAGAAGATAATATTTACCAGAACTGAGAAGTAGATCCAAGAAAACAAGCATAGCACAAGACACTCTTTCAACATTTTGATTTTGCGCAAAAACTCTGACAATAACTTTTCCTAATCGAGACAGTTCCTCTGGTTTATCCGTTTGAGACTTTAAAAATGCAAACAGGGCCGCACTGGAATGCTTCATCTGAAAACAAACAATAATAGTATCAGTAACAACCAAATAATAATTTATATATATATATATATATATATATATATATATATATATGTATTTTAATAATTTTTATGAGTATATATTACCAATGTTTCGGTCAAATCTCCAATACTGGTGATGATTCCAAGCATAACTGATTCGCTGTATTCGGGCAAAGCTAGAAGTTCGCAAAATTTGGGGAATGTATGTTGTCCGAAAAGCCACAGGATTTGGTCAGTGCAATCGGCAGTGAAAATTGTGCCCACTCTTTCGTAATCGGGAACGTATGGACAACTAAAATGATAATATATATATATATATATATATTGATTGTTTCTTTTCCGAACAGTAAATCCAATAATAAAAAACAATTTGTTTTTTGAAGATGTTTAATACGACGTTTCGGAACTAGGTACGTTCCATCATCAGGTTTATTCTGTCAAATACAAGGAGATACCTTCATTACGCGTCATATTGTCCCAAAAATTATAAAGTCAATACAATCATTTCTTTGATAGACCACGCAATCATGTTGTCTCACTCTTCTTTTCATACCCAAAACACAACATTAGTAACTAAAACTTTATTAGAAAACGGATATCCCCTCACCCTCATCAATTCCATTACCAATAAAAGACTTTCCTATCATAAAAGTAACAATTATCAATCCATCTCCAAGTTATTCCAAGACAACAATATTAAACCAACTTTTCACAGCATGCCTTACATTGAAGGCTTATTTGATTATTTTGCCAAATTACTCAAAGAAGAAAATATTTTCATTTCAGGAACAGCTCTATATTCTTTTAAAGAAATGTTTTCAAAAATTAAATCCACCACCCCTCCTAAATTCAATACTAACATAGTTTATTCCATCCCTTGCAAAAATTGTCAAAAACAATACATTGGCCAAACATCACAGTACATTCATAAGAGAATGAGACAACATGAATTAAGCGTCACTCATCATAAAAGCCGAAATTTCCAAAGTACTCTTGTTCAGCATTCCATCGAAAACTCACATAATTTCACCTTTGAACCCAATATTTTATATAGAGAGGATTGTACTTTTAAAGACTTTTTTCTGAAAGCAGTTTAATCTTTTTGAATTCGTCAAAAAGTGTTAATAAAAGATCAGATCACAATATCATTCATGACTCATATTTAAATTTTTAAACCTGATTAAAAATAATTAATCCTAATAGTTTTTGAATATGTGTATATATACATGTATATATGTTATAATATATGTACATCCATATATATGCTTATATGTATGTTTTTTTGGGTATACACTATACACATACACTTGCATATGTGTTCATGTGTATAATTGTGGATACATTAATATATAGATATGTGCATATGTATGTATGAGTATGTAGGTGTGCATATACATGTTCATGTATGTATGTATATATATATATATATATATATATACATAATATTTCTCAACATTTACTAAAGCAATATTTTTCCTTTTTTCGTAAATTACCAAACAAGAGCCATAAAAAATCATTTTTGCCAAGAGTTCCGTGCTTTGTCCTTTACATCTGGCAGACAGAAATCCATATCAGTGTGTTTAAGTCTTGTGTAGTCGTAACATCTACAAATATCTTCCAAAAAAATCGAGTGTTTTTAACAAAAAATATAGTGATATGGATATATAAATTATTACAGGTAAATAATTTTCGCTTCTCAATTTTTATATAAAACCTTTTAGTTAAGTCTTATTACGATCTATCCGTACATAATCCATTCCTTATATAACAAAATTTTTTTCTAATTAATCTGTATTGACCATTGTTAATTAATTTTAATCAGTATTTTAAAAAACATTGTATTTGACAGAATAAACCTGATGATGGAACGTACCTAGTTCCGAAACGTCGTATTAAACATCTTCAAAAAACAAATTGTTTTTATTATTGGATTTACTGTTCGCAAGAAACAATCAATATATTGAAAAAATCCAGGACTTATCTATTGAATATATATATATTAATATATATATATATATATATATATATATATAAAAATATATACTAGCTGACCTGGCAAACGCTGTTTTGCCATCAAAAATATTTTGCCGCTTTGCAGAAGTTCTTATAATATACGTGATACATTAATAATAATGTTATATTTTTATTATACAAATTTCTCTACATTTCGATAATTAATTCCAACGCATCATAGTGTTTTGTTTATTTAATTTCATTTATGTCAAATAGTGAATATTTTTTTTTAATCAATGAATAAATTAGATTTTAGTCTGAATCAACGCAGTAGTACCATTATCTGAATATATAATACTTATATAAAATATCAGATTTTTTACTTTTGCATTTAATTTAAAAATATTGAATGTCAATTTCATATATCCAATATGCACTGAACTTTTAAATGCCAAAATATTTCTTTTTTGGTTCGAAATTTAATATAATATGATATAATTTATATCTATAATTTGATTGCCAATATTGCCTATAACATAACTTGGAATAATTAATTTATTTGTATCTTATTGAAGTCGTTAAAAAATCATTTTTTTTGAACTGTCAGAATTTTGTTTTAATCACTTATCATATAAATTTTCGACTGCAAATTGATATTCATACTATCCCTGAAACTAACATGGATAAAGTTCTGAGAAATCCGAGTCCAAATCTATAAAATGTTTGATTTTTGGCACTTTTATTAATTTTTTATCAATTTTCGTACTGTAATAATGGATAATTATTTATCAAAATTGTAATATTTAGACTATAATTTTAGATGAATATACTATCTATTTTTGCATAGCAATTAGTTTTTTCTTTATTTGAAATCAAGTGAAACATAAATATATTTATTTTTTCCATAAATATCAGATTTATGACATTGTTTTCAATTATTTTTAATTTATTTTGAATTAGCAAATGTCCAAAAATCTAATTAAAATATGCATTAAATATTGTCTATAAATAATATGTCATTTAATAAGTATTATTTATTACTTAGGTGCTTGATATGGATATGAATTTGTAATAAAATATATTCTTTCTGACAAATAGTTAAAAACTTGTTATAATTTTCAAAATTATTTGACATTTCATACTTCCAAAATTAATTCAATCATATCATGGATTAGTCTAAATCAACGCAGTATCATTATCTAAATATACAATTTTTTATATAAATATCAGATTTTTTACTTTTGCATTTAATTTAAATAGTTAATGTCAATTTCATATATGCAATATGCACTAAATTTATAAATGTCAAAATATTTCCTTCTTGGTCGAAAATTAATATAACATGATCATATTATTTACAATAATGTTTTGTATCTATAATTTGTTTGGCAATATTGCCTATAACATAACTTGGAATAATTAATTTATTTGTTTCCTACTGAAGTCGTTAACATTTTTTTGTGAAATGTCAAATTTTT